TTTCCCCCCCCCCCCCCCTTTCCCAATTGCACGCCGCAATGCATAGCCACCTCGTTCTGTCTTTGCACATTCGGTCCGCTCTCATCACCAAGTCGCTTCAACATCGTTCCTCGAGTCACTCGTGCCTCACCTCGATGATACTTGTTCTGAGCCTGGTGCAATGACTGCACGCCGCGCCGCGGCACTCCAGCCAGCGATTGCACTCTTTCACGCCTCCTGGAGTACGGGCCCGTGTCGGTGCCTTGTGCACGCAGAAAGATTATGTGCGAATTGCGTAGGCGGTGACGGTGGCGATCAAGTCGTTATTAGCGTACATTTCGTGAATCACGACATCGCCCTCTTCCCAATGGTATGCGGCATCGGCTGAGGTGCGAGGCGAAGGAAATCAGCAATGCGGTCAGCGATGATGCGCGAGATGTGAGCATCAGGATGCGGACTGCCTCACCTCTTCAGTAGCGCAAACGTGTCAAGCGAAATGCGTGGACTTCAGAGGTCAGCGTTGGTGCCACGCGGCAGATCGCGCGACGCATGGCGAAGCTCACCTGCCCCCTTGACCCTTATTTTCTGAGAGTTGCACTTGTACAAGGTATTTGAAGCCTGCTCAGCGGGGACAAACGCGTGAGTATACCCGCAGGTTAATCATGCTGGGTGGTCAGTGCCGGCTCACCCTTTGGTTCTATCTCTGTAGCGTGATAAGCAGCCAAATGAGATCGAGGCGTAGGACGCAATCGGAGAGACAGCAACGGCGGGTGAAAGAGTCGTCAGATGCAGCCTCGTCAAGGGTCGACTATTCTGCTGTCCCAGCGTTGGGAATGTGCCCTCGCGGTGTTGCGCCCAACATGGTTCGGCGCTGCGTCTGGAGCCCTGTAGGCTAGCCCGTCTCACCATCTCCTACTGCGCACGCCTCACGTGGGGATCGCCCTGCAAGCAAGTTGCCAAACTCACCAATCATCCTGCTCTTTACATTATCCGCAATATCCCTATTGACAGCCTTCATCTTTTCCTTGTCCCTTTCCCACGCGACACCGGCCAATCTGGAGTGCAGCACTTTGTGCAATTGAACTTTCAACTTGGAACTGTCAAAGGTCTTTGCGTGCAGGTTGCTAGAGCTGACGACTCCTCTCGATGTCGAGCGCTGCTGTTGAGCCTGTGAGCTGCTCGCGCTTGACGAAGCTGTGCGAGAGAGAGGAGGACCTTGAAGCGCTGATGACATGGTCGCTTCTTGCTAAAGCCGGAGCTGGGAACAGCTGGTGCGTGGGTGCGTGGGTGCGTGGGTGCGACACCCGTAGCTTTTGCAACGCGACGCTTGAAGATGGGTTCACGCTATTGCTACAATCGGAGTGCCGGTTGAGTGTATTGATTGGTCAGGTCCTTACGATCTGCCTTCGATGCTTAGAGTCATGAGTCTGGGTGATTGAGCTGAATAGCGAGCGTCACCTCACCTCATCGCCTCGTCATGCATGCTGTTGATCCCTGCACGCTTGTCAACACCTGTGCATGCTGCTGCTGCTCATCAGACTTACGACTCAAGACTCTCACTCAAGACTCGTGACTGTCGCGCGCTTGCTGCGCAGTCACGTGTCTTGCAACACCGACGCGTGAAAAGGTAAGAAAAGCTTTTGCGGCGCCATTTTGATTCTTCTCGCAGACATCCAGCGGTGGGCATTAATTAGCATTCTTCTTGTCCTACCACCATCCATCATCCCAACAAGTCCGCACGTAGCCAGCGCCCCAACGCGGAAGGACAGGTGCTTTGCAATGGAACCATTAGACTGCCGTGTCTGCCTCTCCCTTCTTCATTTCTGCGCATGCTGATCGGTCAGGTCAGCGTGCGAAGAAGCCCTTGACCCCATCCACACCACCCAGACGACCCCACACGAAGCCCAGCAGTCCTGGCCTCTCCCCTTCTCTCCCATTCATCCTCTTCGCGAGGCTCTGAGAGGGAGTTTATTGGAAGGGCGATCGATGGCCAATGGCTGTTGTGTTCAAATTGGGGTCAACATCGACTCAAAGCAGCTCATTAGGTCGCGAGGACGTGCCATGATGAAACCCCAGACGTTCGAGCATCACCCAGGGCTCCTACATTCCACATTCGTGTGTCACATGTACAGGCTTCATGCAGCTTTGACTACACTCTTGACTTGCTCAAGACCCACACTCGTGACTACTTCGAACATGTATGCAAGTCGCTCTTTCACTCACACACACACACACACACACACACACACCCATCACATCTCACTTGAATCGCATGCGCTTGCAATCGCCCTCGATCTGCTGTTGCTGTTGCTGTTGCTGTTGCTGTTGCTGCAGCGTGCATGCTAGCTGCTGACCCCCCACCCGCATGGAGAGTCAATCGTATCTTTGGGTCAGAGCACGTCGAGGATGAGGAATACGTGTATGATACACTGTGTATGCGGTACCTTGTAGCTCTTGACTTGACCGTGATATAGAGCGGTGTGTACCAGCCGTACAACGCGCGGCCAAGCACTCGTGACTTGACTGCCTTCACATTCAACATTGAAGATTGTGATCGCTGCAGAAGCGCCGGGCGCGGGCGCGGGCGCGGGCGTTGGCCGGGGGGAGCTGGCTATACTCATCCTCGTGATTGAATACTTGCGAAGAAAAAAAGTTGGCGATGCGCGGCGATCTGCGTGCGCCTGCTGCAGCTTAAAAGTCACGAGTCACGAGTGCAGCTGGGCAGCTCATCAAAGCTGCAGCTGTGAAATTTGGCGAGGTGCAGCTGATGCTGATGCTGATGCTGATGATGGGTGCGCCATTAACCATCACTCGATCAGGTGCTGTCATCAGACCACTTCCAACCTCGACTGAGTACTTTTACTCTCACTCACGCATCTCCACTCTCACATCCCCTCGACATTGTCTCTTACAACAGCAGCTCATCTCACCTTCAGCTCAAGCTCTTTCATTCTGCAATACCTCGGGGCGCTACAACGAAGCGTCTGCCTTTGCGCGCGCAGCAGCGACATTCCTCTCTTCGCCCGACCTCTTGCAGCAAGGCTCAGCTCTCGTCTACTTTGCAAGTACGAGACTTTCAGCGCTTTCTCCTCAAGTCGTCCACGAGTCTCCAGGCAGCGCATTTCGACATTTGCCGCTGCTTTCGGTATGTCGAGCTCCACGAATGCTACGGCGGCGGCGCCCCTAGCGGCCGGATCAGCGCAGATGACATCTCGGGACTACTACGCCGATTCCTACGCTCACTTTGGTATTCACGAAGAGATGCTGAAAGATACAGTCCGAACGGACTCGTATCGAAATGCGATCATGAACAATCCTCATCTCTTCAAGGGCAAGACAGTGCTGGACGTCGGATGCGGGACGGGAATTCTTTGCATGTTTGCTGCCAAAGCTGGCGCGAAAAAGGTCGTGGGCGTGGATATGAGCGAAATTATTGAACAGGCCAAGGTCATTGTGGACAAGAATGGCTTCAGCGATGGTGAGTTGCGCATACATCGTTGCGTGGTTTTGCAATGTACCGTGCCTTTGTCGAGACCGTGTGCATGCTCATGCTCACCCTCATGCTATTCGCGCTTCCTTTCGTGCATCGCAGTCATCACCCTCGTCAAGGGCAAGTTGGAGGAGGTGGACTTGGGTTTGGGACCCAACGGAAAGGTGGACGTCATCATCTCCGAATGGGTCAGTCTACCGCATCTTCGAACAAGACCTGCCGAGTCGTCGCTGATGAGAAAGCCCCACGCTGTGTCTTCCTGTCACCCAACCAGATGGGGTACGCTTTATTGTACGAGTCCATGCTCGACACCGTACTGTTGGCAAGAGACAAGTACCTTGTGAGTCACAGCATACACTTTCGAATGTTGCAATCGCTCATTGCGCTCACTCACTCGGCATCCTGATCGCACTCCTTTCAATTATCCCTTTGATGTGTTCAGGCCCCAGGCGGAATCCTCATGCCAGACAGCGCAACTCTCTTCCTCTCCGCCATTGAGGACCAAGAATACAAGGAGGAAAAAATCGGTTTCTGGGATGATGTGTACGGCTTCGACTACAGTTGCATCAAGGACATTGCTCTCAAGGAGCCTCTAGTGGACACTGTGGAACTTAAGAGCGTTGTTTGCGACCCTGCAAAAGTGCTCCACTTGGACTTGTTGAAGTGCACAAAGGAGGACTTGGCTTTCAAGTCCAGCTTCCAGCTGACCGCTACCAGGAACGACTGTGAGTACAAGCGAACAAATGTGCAGCAAGGATATTTGAATGGCAAATGGAGCCGCTCAAACGCGCTCTCAACAGTCCGCTGACCCGACGCTTCACTTGCTCTGCCGCATGTAGACGTTCACGCTTTCCTCGCATGGTTCGACATTTCCTTTGACGCATGTCACAAGCCAGTGCGCTTCAGCACGGGCCCTCACAGTCGGTACACGCACTGGAAGCAGACCGTCTTCTACATTCCCGGCATGCTCCTCGTCAGCGCGGGCGACAAGATTCAAGGCAACTTTGCTTGCAAACCAAACGAGAAGAACAATCGCGATTTGGACATTGAGATCGATTGGCAGCATAGGGACGAGAGGTCTGGCATGAAGTACAAGATGTAAGTGCGACGTACCCGGAACCCTTGCCCACACTCGCTCCGCTGCATGCGGCGATGCGCCCACGTAAGACTGCTGACGACTCACACCACCACTAGGTCGTGATTCTCCTCATCATATGCAGGTATTGACCATTCGAGTCTGCTTGGATACAGGCCCAAAATGCGAACAGCCAGAGCAAGAGCCGCTTAATTAGGCTCAGCTTGAACCAGAGGTCCGGTCATGCGCATTGTTAATAATGCTAGAAAATACATGGGGCACGTCAAAAGACTATTGCGAATATGCTTTGTGTGGGGATGCCAGGTGATCTGACAAGGCTATCGGAATTCTAAAAGGATCATGTTCTGGGCGCCACGATCGGAGCAAGGTGCTAAGTCCTGCCCCTTGATGCTTCTTGTTCGTCTTCCTCCGACTCCTCGTCGCTCGAGATGACCGCCGAGTTCTCGACTGCAGCGTCACCTTGAGTCATGCTGGCCAAGGCATCCTCGCGTCGACGCTGCAACAAGCTGCTCTCTTTGACAAGCATAGCTTGGTACTTCTCATCCAACAGCGCGCTAGAAGGACCATTTCCTGCACCATTCGGCTCTTTGCTGTACCTTCGTGACCCCAAAGCCGTACCTGCGGCTTCGCGTGCCGCTCTGCGGGAAGCGACCAGGGAGCTGCTGGAATCCGACAGTCGCCTGCGGCTGGCTGGAGAGTCGGCTTCATCCGCTTCGGCAGCCGCCAGGTCCGATACTTGCTTGGGCCTGTCCGCCGTGTTGGTGCCGCTAAACGACAATGGTCGATGATTGCGAGCAAGCGCAGCGACAGCGGGTGGTCGGAGCTTTTCGCTCGCGGCCGAGGCGCTGGGTGAAGGCTGTCCTCTGGCGACAAGGGTTGGTGCAGATGTCTGCGAAGGGCTCGTGGGAGGCAGTTCGGCAGTGCTCGTAGTAGGCGATCGCATTGAGCGAGGGGTGAAGCTAAGAGGCTCGTCGTCATCATCGTCATCACCCCGAACGGCAGATGCTGACAGCTGCAAAGGAATGTTTTTCGCAGCGCTGGACACCGCTTGCAGCCCGTGCTCTCCATGAGCACTCTGGGTTGCGGACACTTGCTGCTTCGCAACTATCGCGTCGAGCTCGTCATTGCGGTCGTCGAAGCTTTCAGTGATCCACAGGCCAATGAAGGTGATTATCTGTTTCGCCTCCGGAAGTAAGCTCGACATCTGGAGACGAGACAGTCCAGAACATGGGCTGAGCAATTTGTAGCCAGATCACGTCGAGGCGACAAGCGGACCTGTGCTTACCTGCAAGAAACCATGTGAATAGCCCTCGATGATGCGCATCTGAACCCAATCCTCTACGGTCTCGTCTTCAATAGGATCATGCTGCACGTGAGGAGACCCGCCAAGCGACATGCGAAGCTGTTCTCCGAATCTTGCAGAAGCGCCAGCTCTGCGACGCTTCAGTTCCGCTTGCTTCGCCAGCTTGGCCTCTCTGATGCGACCAGCCATCACAACAGTGTCGTCGCCTGACAGGAGAGTGAGTTAGCTGAGAATCAGCAGATGGCCCCGCACATGTGGCTCAAATTGAGCGACTCACAGATCGGGTCCTTTTCTCCGCACACGAAGAGACAGGGCGGGAACTCCGCAAGAAGTCGTGCCGGGGCGACGATTGGGGACAAGAAATAGTCGTGATCAAAGTCTGGCTGGCGCCTCGGGCCAACGTAAAGAATGGCCATTGCTCTCATCATCGACTGCGTCAAGATACGATCTTGAAAGTAGCCTGCCATGGAACTCATTGTCAGGCGAGTATTCACCCTCGACGTCTTTTGTCGGTCGCTCATCTCTTGATCAGCTTTGGAGGCAGCAGCTTCTAGAATTCGCTGCTGCTCTTCGGCTGCAACGATCGCAGCTCTTTCCGCCTCCGCTGCTGCGTCAGCTTCGAGATCGCTCGGGTGCCGTCGCATCCACAAATCTTTGTCCCAGTCGCCAGAGACCGTTCCGCCAGGCTGGTGGGGCGACATATCGCCATCGTCACTTTGCGGTTCAGCCGCGGTGAACGAGGCCCGCTCTGCTAGATGCAGCTCTGCCTGAGAAGCTAGAGACTCATATCTTGAGGGCACAGAGGGCTTTTCCTTGCCTTTGCCGCCCTTGCGCGAGCTAGCGTTCTCGTGACGACCCTTGGCTTCATCGAGATGCATGTTTGAAGAAGGCCGTCGCACCGAGGTTGAGCTTTGGCTACCTCGTCGTGAGCGTGATCGAGATCGTGCTGGATTGAGTGGCGACCCCTTACTCTTCACAGCGTGGACAGAGTCGCCTGCTAAAGACTCGAGGTTGACCTCACTCTGCTGGCGGAGCACCCTAATGTGGTCGGGCTGTGCCGCGACTGAGTGTCAACAATGACAGAGACTTTGTAGCGGAGGTGACGAGATCCAACACTCACTTTCATCCAGCTGGAAAAGCCAAAGTTGAGACTGGGATATGCAAGTACCATCGCCAGAGGTTTCGGCAGGGCAGGAGGCTTGCTCCCTGGACCGCCTGCCGCTTTGGTTGCGAAAGCGCTCTGAATGTGGGGCTGCGGGTACTCAAGCACCTTGAATAGGGTGGCCACCGCCAAATTAGCACCAGCAGAATCACCAGTCAACACGATTCGGAATTGGGAGGCGCCCGACATGCCGATCACACTACCGCCTGACTCGTGCAGCGTGCGGTAGAGGTCATAGCATTCCTCTAGAGCGTACTGTTTCCAGGATCAAGGGCAGATGATGAGCTCGATGTCACGTCCAAGGCACCGAGACACCACTCACGGGAAATGGAAATTCTGGCGCTTTGCAATAATCTACCGACAGAACGGGCCGCTGGCCTTCTTTGGCCATTTGTCGCAATCGCTCCTCGTGATGGCGCGGGTCCATGCACACAAATCCGCCACCGGGAAAGTCGAGCAAGAGCTATGGAAAGGCCGATCAGCTTCAAATTCCGCACGTTGTGTAGATCTGATTGTCTATGCGCTCACCTCTTCCTCTTCGCGCAACTCCTTCTCTGTTCCGGCGTAAAAGAGCCACGCACGAGTGGGCCTCTTTGCATGCGCGCCAAGGGCAGGTCTGGGTAACAATAGTGGTCTCGCGATGCCCAGGCTTGGTCGATGGACGACCGTGAAGGCTCGGATGTATGGATTGGTAGTCTGGACAAGGTGAAGAGGACTCCATGTCCATGTCAGCGGAATAAGCACTTGGTCGCGCTTTCATGGCGGGTCCACTCACTTTGTGCCAGGTGGCGCGCATCATCTCGATGGTACAGAAAGCTCTGAACTTCCTCAGCTTCTCGTCGGCTTCGTTGGCATACACAATGTAGTACAGAGAGAAAAGAATGCTCGCGATATCCTGATATGGCTCGAAGCACCCGTCAGCTTACGAGCCCGTTGCAGCAGCTTCCATGTCCGAGACTCGTTGCTCACTCTCAGCCACACAGGCTTGATGGTCATGGCGGTCGCAAAACCAGCGTCTGACGTGATGAGTACGGTCGTCAGTGTTCAAAAATCGCTGTGCCTTACTCATTCTCATATTCACCTAGTGCCGTGACGATCCATGTGACCCGGTAAAAGGAGCGAGAGTACTAGCAAATGATGCATGAAGCTTCAGCGCCTCCGCCAGATTGCATCCCTTGCGACCACTGGAACTCACCATCCTAGCTAGTGGCTCTGGGGCGCCGAAGCCAAAGAGAGCATCGAGATGTCGAATGGCGTACACCGACGTTAGGGTCGCTACAATAATCTGCCAGGGTGACCAGCGCCCTGCAAATGGAGTAGAGGATGCTTTTCAGAAATCTGCTGGTTCACAGACACCCGCGTTCTATGTACATCTGATCCACATGTGGCTCGCGAGATCTGATGCTCCACTCCTCCACGCCAGCACCTGACAGCTCCATATCAGCTTGCATCGTACACTCACGTCCCCATTTGGACAAACACGTGGTTCCTGGTACCCGCTTTGGTCCATCTCGTCCACCAGCTTTGAGTACCCAGGACCAAAAGGCAATGACGAGCAGCACCTGCAACCTCTTCAACCTGGTAGACGGTCTGCCGAGCAGGTGGTCAATCATCGTGCCTTTCTGCGTCTTCACTGAGCTTTCTCGCGACTCTGGGTGCTGTCCTCCGTTGCTAAGTGAAGTGCTACCCTCCAGCGATTCCCTTGCTTTCGAGCCAAGGATTCAAGATTGCTGGCTCAGCGCGTGATGGCCATGTAGCTCTGCTACCCCTGGTCGCGCCGACCGAGGACTTGGGCAGAGTTGAGTAGTGGGTACAATCGGGTAAGTTAGGTGAATCTGTGTAGAGGTGAGTGGAGAACCCTTACTTGTCGACAGGAGACTTTCGAGCAGAAATGAGCGAGGCTGCGAGCGCAAAGCCGTGTCAGGTAACCTTGTATGCTGCCTCCGTTGGGATTGTGTGGAGGTCAAATGTGAATGTGCATCAGGCGCGGGGAGCCCCTAGATGCAGCAATGAGGAATGTGAGTGAAACGGCCACTGGCTAGGCGGTTGCGCGTGAAAGCAGATGGACCTTGGCTACGGTAATGGTAGCTGATCAATTTGCTCACACCGCTTTTGCGTAGGCTTATCGCTGGGCCTTCGTTGGTGGGAATATAAGCGTCACTGTCAAGAGGGAGCGGAGCGGATCTTGGTGTTGCATTCAGCACGGCCCATGCTCGATTGCAGGCGAGCGCATACATTCACATTCAATTCTCCGCATGCGCATGGATGCACGCGTTCTTGCGTGACTGCTGCTGGGAGCAGCACATCCGCTGCTCGGCCGGATCGCTCGGCAAGGAGGACCGCGACCTCGCCAGCTCGCGTTTGCCGTTTCCAAATCTTGGTCTTGACACCTACTGAATCGTGAAACGTGCACTTGTGCCTGCCAGTACTGCTACTCTCTGGTACACAATCATAATCGTGAATCGTGCACATGGTGGGCAGCAATTTCAATTGCGACATGGCCTCTGTCTCGCCTCGCCTCGCCTCGGCTCGGGAACGGACCATTCGGTAAGAGAGCGGGGCAGGGTTTGAGACTCACTGACCATCGCGATGCAAACACACTCCTATCAATCAGCTGGGCGGTGCACTGAAGCACTCTGACTTATTGACTGCTATGTATAACCAGTCACGAGCAAGGGGTCGTCGTGCGATCCCTGCCCATCGTGACCTGCAACACTGTGACTCGAGTTTGGGTCCCCAGGCAGGCACGCAACCTTGCACAGCAAGCAGATGCAAGGTGACCTGCTGGACCGGCGTTGGGCCGTCGACGAAAGCGCAGGCTGACATCTTGCATCGGGCTGCGCACTCACACAGGCAAGGACAGACGAGCGGCGCGCCGCGACCCCAGTGCAGCAGCAGACTCGCAGCGCGTCGTCTCCCGCACGAAGCTCGCTCCCACGCTACATCCTGAAGCGAAGAGGCCAGCGAGTTTGTGGCGTTTTTCCTCTGCGAGGGGCCTCCACAACGGCATACCTGCTGCTCTCGCCATCTCACAATAGAGTCGTCGATGAGCTGAGCATTCGGTCCATCGAGGAGCGTGTAATTGAGAATGGGGAAAAGTTCGAGTCATGCAGAAGTGCGACAGCTATGATTCGAGACGTGGGGGACTTGGCTGTCGAGTCAGATCAGGTCGAGTCGAGGCAGGGTTGGGATGCGGATTCTGAGAGCATTGGGGCGAAAGCACGAGAATGGGATGCGTAGGGACAGGGGACTGAATGGATGTTGTTCCACGACCCGAACGACGGCGAGTCGTGTATGCGACAAGTGACGCCAGCGATGAAACGGGGCTTGTGAGAACGTCTTGGTGAGAATGTCGGTGATCAGAATCAGTGAAGCGATGATGCCTGGCGGTGAGGCTCGACTCAAGTCAGACGGCCGATGAAGAGTCTGCAGATTGGTGTACCAATCATCGACGCCTCCGTCACGACGCTAGACCTCCATGACACGAGTGACGCTGTTGAAACCTTCAAAGGGATTCGCCGCCACGGCGTCTCCATCCTCATCCTTGACATTCTTCTTGCCCGCGGAAGCCTTCATATCTCCTGCCTTGTGCTTCGAAGAAGGAGCCTCATCGCCTGCAGTGCTGTTGCCTTGCATGTCGAGGTTGAGACTGCGGCTTTCTCGAACAGTACGGAAATTGATGGCGTCAAGCCCATTCGAGTAGGCCGGCACGATAGGTGGGGTGGTGTGCCTTAGCAAACCCCATGACAGAGGGCTGAACCACTTGTGCGTCTTGACTTCACTAGCACCAGACTGCGATCCGAGCCGTCGCATCTCGTCCTTGATGAGCAATTTGCGGATCATCGACTTGCCGAGAGAAGAGATAGGCGTTGACTCGGGGAATGCCGGTTCGTTTCGCAACACGTTCGAGAAGGTCGCGTTACGAGAGGAGCCCTTGAACGGCGTAGTCGCAAACTGGAACAATCGCCTCAAGCGTCAGCTGGCTCGATGCTAGCAGAGGCGCGCGTCGGCTTGCACTCACGATCATCTCGTAAATGAGGATACCCAAGGTCCACCAGTCGACTGCGCTGGTATGCCCACACCCTTTGATGACTTCTGGTGCGATGTACTCTTCTGTACCTACGAACGAATTCGTGCGCAGGTCTGCAATGCATGAGCGAGTGTCGACCAGAGGTGCGCTGTTTGGGGTAGCTTGCCGGATCATGGCAGGAGCGCCTCCTCGCCTCGTGGCTCGTGCGGACAAATCGAAGTCAGACAGCATCACATGGCCAGATTGATGAAGCAGAATATCTGGACGTTGCGACAAGAGTGCGTGAGCCACAGAAGTGTGATGAGGTGCAGACTGCCACTTACTTTCTGGTTTCAGGTCCCGGTAGATGAAGCCCATCAGGTGCAGGTATTCTAAGGCGGCGATGACTTCTGCCGCATAGAATCTGGCGTCCTCCTCCGGAAGACATTTTCCTGGTCTGGTCTGCAAGGCGCGGAAGAATTCGCCGCCCATACAGTACTCCATGCATAGATAGAGATAGTCGTCGGACTGGAAGGAATGATATAGCGTGACGATAAATGGATGATTGGAGGTCGACAAAATCTCTTGTTCGGCCATTACCCGCTTGATCTTGTTTCTCTTGATCATCTCCTTCTTTGACAACACTGCACGCAGGCAAGGTGAGCACGATCAGCGGAATGCAAGGCGCCTTGGACGTTGCAGTTGCGGTGCTCACCTTTCATTGCGTACAAGCGATCAGTCTTCTTCTCGCGCACCAGGTACACTTTGCCGACATCCCCCTTGCCCAGCATCTTGATTTTGGTGAAGCTGCTCGGGCCGACCTCAACCTCGCGCACTTTGATGCTGTTGCTAGAGTATGTTCTCCTAAAATTGGCTCTGCCAGAGGACGCCGGACTCTGCTCGCCATTCGCTTGCAACGTGGCCAGCTTGTTGCCTGACATTGGCGGGCTCAATGGCCCGCGATGTTTTTCGCCTGAGCCAGCCTTCGCACTTGCGCCCTTTTTGCCTGAGCCAGGGAACATGATCCCAGAGCGAAGCTTGGGTGTTGAGACCGATCGAGCCCCTTTCTCAAAATCTTTGGAGGAGAAAGACGTTGCACTGGAATCCATTCGGACGGGAGAGTTGGGAAAGTAACCATCCGGAGCTGTCCGATCGCCGACGGCATGAGCTACTCCAGGGGCGAGTCTTGCCTGCGGTGTCGATGGAGCTAGCGCCCCGCTCTCAGACACAGAATGCGTACCGTGACCAGAAGTGCCATTCTTGGGGGAAAGCATATTGTCCTTGGCTGTGGGAGTAGTTGGCATCCCATCGGCGGCGGCGGCAGCCGCCGCTGCCCGCGCTTGAGCAGCAGCGACTTTGTTGGTGTCTGGTGCTGAAGAGACACGTCGCAACAACTTGGAGGCGAAACCACTACCGTTTCTGCTTCCCGGACTCGAGCCTCCATTTGTGTGTCCGCTGGTGGTGCTACCGTTGGGGCTGGAAGGACCAGCTTGTGCAATACCTGGCAGGGTGAGATGCCCGTCATCCTCTAGCACCGCACCATCCGCGAGATCGACTGCAGGCTTCAGCTTTGAGGCGCCTGTCGAAGACTCAGACTTGTCCACGCCGTGTGGGCGGGCTTCCTTTGGTGGCGTTGTTGTCGTAGCGCTGGTGTTGTATGCGGAACGGCTGACGTCCCGTGTGGAGCTGCCAGGGGTCTCAATAGAGCCCTCGTAAGAGTCACCAGAGAGCGAGTTGGGGTCCGCCACGACCGTACTGCCGGCAATGGGCTGGAAGCTGTGCGATGTCGCTGACGCAGAGCCTGCTCCTCGACTTGCGCTCACGGAACGTGAGCTCGGCATTGTGTGAGCGTCAGAGTCGGTGGTGCGAGCCAAATCAGAGCCGGGTCCCTTCTTGCCGATGGACCCAAATTTATTGAGCATGGACTTCCACTTCTTGTCCTTGACGCTACCGGCAGTGCTCAGGGCAGGGCTGATGGGTGCAGCCGCACTACTGCTCGTGCTTTGGCTGCGGTCGCCTCTCCGTGCTTCGGAAGCTTCCAATGACTCTGCCCCCTCACTAAAGATACTTGCCTGATGGCGGTCTGCTGGTGGCGCTGTGACTGGCGCTGTCTCGGCGGCAGAAGGTGGTATGGCCATGATCCCAGATGACACGGCCTGTTCGCCTGACCCGAAATCACCATTCGCCTGACTTTGGGTGGAGATGGCAATGGTGGAGGCGGAGGGAGGCGTTGAAAAGCCACTGAAAAGGTCTCCGTACTCCTCGGCTGCTGCAGCGACAGCAGCGGCCTCTTTCATCGAAGCCGATGAAGAGGCTGTGTAAGGAGCTACAGAGGTCATGGTGTGGTTCCACCTTGACAATTCGTGACCGTGTGGCCGACTTGTAGGCTGTCGAGGACACGTGAGATGCCTGCCGACGAGACCTTGCCAAGGCTGTAGCGGAGGCCTTCTGGCGCTAGGTGTGGCCGCAGTAGGGCACTAGGCCTATCGAGGTCAGCACCGACACTCGTGTGGTGTCAAGGACAGTGTTCAGACTGCGGTTCAATTGCCGGAGACGATCACTGACGCGCCGTTGGTCGATCAAGCTGAAGTCGGGCGTTCGGAACGCGCAGACACTTCAATGTGTTGAAGCAAGTCCGAGCAGTGCCAAGCACGAGGTGAGATTGGGTGATGAGGCCGGGGGTGATATCCACTCTAGCAGAGAGCTCCTGAGTTGAGGAAGCCGTGCCTACAATTGAGAGCTGCTGAGACCGCCGCTTTGCCCGTCAGGGTCGATGGGGAATGTCGAAGCTGGGGTCGCAAGAAGCCCGTTGCTGGATGGGATGCTGTCTAGGGTAGAGGCACCACCCGCCAAGTGTTCCCAGACGAGGATGATGCGCGGCAGGAAGAGGACTACGACAAGGTCACGAATATGTCGAGTAGTCAGATACACGATTTGCGAGAGCAGCAAAGCGTCGAGGCAACAAACCTTGTAATCTCGATTTGAAGTTGTGGAGCCGCGTGAGGTACAAGGAACGGGCCCTCACCCGCTGGATTAGCCACGCCTCACGACTGCTGTCAGGTGTGTGCGCGTGCGTGCGAATTGCTCTTGCATGGAGGGGCAGCCATGCAACTCGAGGCCGGTGCTCCGGCCATTTGGGGGGGCCTGCGGATTAGCCTGCGATCTCCCTGCCATGCTTTTCTGTGCAGCTGCTGGCTGTAGGTGCAGCGGTGCACTCGACTTCGCAGTTCGGAATAAGACGCCATGCATGCAGACTAGCAAGCACTGCAGCAGCATCAGCAGACGAGGAATCCCTCGATTGAGGCAGATAAACGCGTGCGCGGCCGGAATTAAGACCGCGGCGTTTGCGAGACTCACACCAGAGGACGGGTGACTATGAATGAGCCAAAGATGTTTGAAAACGCAAGACCCCTTAATAGTAGTACGTCATCATTGAATTAAGATCGTCACATTCAAAACTCTCGAGGGCTTGATTTGAGTTCTAACTTCCATCTGCACTTTATTTAATACTCGGATCAGACTCCCTGACTTTCCAAACGACTTTTGACTTGACACTCAAGACTCAAGACTTGACTTCACGCCCGTCTTGTGACTTGTGACCTAGGTGCGGTGATCGAAACTCCTGACCGCGATGCTCCTTACTGCGACGGGCAGCCCGCAAGACAGTACATCACACTGTTGCTCAGCTTTGAGGGGCTCCTGGCCAGCATGTCCAGGCTCAGCAGGAAATGTGCGACCTACCTAGGGCGGAGAGGTTCCCCTTGCTGGCATCAGCGAGATAGCTTGCCATGCCTGCTCTGTTAGCTCGGCGACCGAGTAGCGTTCTTTGGCAGTCCTTCGGAAAGAAGCATTGGCGATCGCATCTCCCATGTCGATGGAGAGGCGCAAGCGGAAACGACGTCCAGCTACGCGGACGACAGTCAGGATCATTAATCGAGTCAGTGCTGGGCGAATGAGAATTGATCTGACGCTTCATGTCATTATTAAATCACGTTGAAAAGCCGCGCCAGGTCGCCCAGAGAGCAAAGAGAGATATGGTTTTCATTTCGCAGGACCGAGCTCTAAGAATCTGTGCGGCGTGCGCCATCGCTGGAATGTTTGATGGGCCTTCTTCACTTGCGGATCGCAGCGAGCTTGCACCTCACAATTCTCGTAGTCTCTGTTGGTCGAATTGGACCAGCGCAGCCTGTCGTGTAAGCTCGCGAGAGAACAACCCCTCTGAGACCATACATCCTCGGGTTGCAATACCGATCGATTAGGCTCGGTCCCGCTGCGGTCCTGCCCGCCACAAATTCGTGCTGCACGGGCACAGGAGTCTGCACAAAGTCGCAAAGCGTGAGTCGCCAGTTTTACTTCTGCCCCCTCTTCCCCTCGTGACCGTGCACCTGCCATGCATGCGGCCCCGAAGGTGGACCGCAAAGGCCACGACGCCTCGAAGCACGACCAGCACTTCTAGGCTCGACGTATATCTCTTCCTTGATATTTTGTCCCCTCATTAACCACCGTCAGTCACTTGCGCGCAGCGTTGATAAGCATGCGTGGCTAGAAAGGCTTGGGCGACGCGGTTTGGTCTACGTCACAGATGTTCAATTGTCTAGCGCGCCAACTTCGTGATTGATCCTTGATTATGTGAACGATACCAAGTGATCGACGGGTGAGCAGCCAAGAGCGTTCCAATGAAGCGCAAACAAATCGCGAATCAGGAATATGAGGTTGTGGGCAGAGCACCAAGTCAAGCTTGAAGGGCATTCTCTCTGATCCAGACTTGGGCTGTCGCGACTGTTGATCATCACTCCTCGCGATTGCACAATAGGCGGGCCGTCGAAATGCTCTGTATACATTTATTCAATCACGAATTCAGTGATTCGAAGCTGACCTGGCCAGTGGTGCCGCTCTTTGACTGCGGGAAGATTGTGCAAATACCAATCGTGAAGGATCACCATCAGCACAACGTACGCAGGCAGCCGGTTGTCTCAGCTTACGACAGCGTGCCTGCATGTGAGTCTTGTGAGTTCTGAGTGGCTGGTCTGTAGCTGCATGTATGCATCAGGCACACAGGACTTGCCTTTACTACACCAGCTCAGGTTTGTCAGTCAGGCACATGTCGAGCAGGAAAGAGCGTATTTGTATAGCCGACACATCAGATTGCTCAGATAGCTCATGCAAGAATTGTAGGTACGCTCGGACCGCGCCGTAAGCTGATGCCACCAAGTCAACGGTGGGGGTCTTGGGGATCAGTGTGCTTCTGGAAAGGGGCAGAAGGCAGGCACAGGTAAGGAGCGCTATAGGAGGCATGGGAGACGTCAGAATCAAGGATGAAAGGAAGCAAGAAGGGTCGGTCCTGCAGCTTTTAGCGTGCGAAGCTCTGGCTTTGCATTTGCCATCACGTACCGCACGTGTCTGGCAGCCACGCTGCGCCGTTTTCCGCTGAACAGTCGAGGTCTGAAGCGTGAAGAGTCCTTGAGTGCGGCATCTTACATCGTCATGCAGCAACGGTCACAAAGTGTTGGCGCCGAGTCCTGGGCGGGAGGGAGGCACTCATCCGCTACCAGTGTGGTACCGGTAATTGCTATGCAAGATGCCTCGTCCTGCTGCCTCGTGGCTCAATCGTATCGCAGGCGTCTTGCACTCGTGGCTTCCTAATCGCAAATGTGGGGTTAGTAGATCGTCCGGGGTTGGTCTTGTCTCAACATGCACCAGCTCATCAGAAAGTCACGAATGATTCGACGCTATCTGAGCGCGCTGAGGCTCGAAATCGCGACTGATCAAGCCATACCGAGCCAGGTGGGCCCACGCGCCTACGAAAGCTTTGCTGGAGAGAGCCTAGATTCTACCTGAGACCTTACAACCCCAAGAGCGTACGTAGCGTCGAGCCAGCACACGAGGTTATGTACGCTTCGCTGATGTCGGGGAAGCCTGAGAGGGCTTTGTCGATATGCGCTTTAGCAAGAGTTGCAGCCGAAATTCACGAATGCCTTCAGTCACGATGGTGATAGTGTTTGACCGAATGATGGACGTCGTGGTGGCCCCTGTAGCCAGCCCTGAATCACTGGATTGATATCAGCGACCTGGCCGCTGCCTCCACCTGCCCCGATCGGGAGACAGATTACGATCACCAGTATGTGTCACTAAGCTCAACGACGAGATTTCGGTGTCAGGTGCCACGTGGCACGCGCGCCGCACGCGCATATATCATAGCTCGCACATGTAGTCGACACCTGCTTCCTACACACCACGATCAATGATATCGCTCTCAGGTTATGAACCCCTACGTGATTCATTGCACCTCGCAACCTCTTGAAGCTCACCTCACTAGTTGCGCCCACCCGTTGAAGCTCACCTCGCGGGCCTCCCGCCCCACTTGGTGCGTTTGAGACGAATTCCATCCACGACGTAGGCTACGCGTAGCTAACCTGAAGCACACCTCAGGGACAATGGCCCCTTCCAACTCATCACCGACGCCGGTGACGGGAAGCTTCAAAACACCTCCCATCGCCCCTCTCACATCTGGAAACTACACAGAAATGGAAGTGGAAGATGGAGAATGCCCTCTCGTTAGAGGGCCTCCTCCCTTGGGTGAACGGCCATTGGCCCCGACCCAACAAGGAAAACACCAAGTACGAGGACGCCGCAGGCACGACTCGCACCCTGACCTACACCCAGCTGTTTCAAAGACAGCACAACTGGGATGAAGCTGACAGAAAGGCTATGACCATGATTCGCATTAATGTGGGACCCTTGGAAATCAGGTACCTTCGCGATCTGACCACCGCGCATGCATCGTGGAAGAACATCACAGAGAGGTACAAACGCAGAGGTACCACTGAGCAGGTACGGCTGCTGCGTCAATGGCAGACCCTCACCATGCGTACTGGAGAGACGGGAGAAGAGCTCTGTGCAAGAGCATCTCAAATGCTAGACGAACTCGACATGATGCAACTTCTACCAACGCCGAAGATGCAAGCAATCACTCTTCTAGGCGCTCTGGATGCATCGTACGCTCCTCTTGCCATGTCCCTTGAGACGAGGGACAACCTTGACTTCCAAATCGTCGAGTCTTCTATTCGTCAAGAAAGCGCCCGCCGCAACATGGCCGACGACATGGGTACCAGAGCCCTCATGGCGCGAGGTCAACCGAAGCGCCCCATCCGCCCCAAGTGCACCCACTGTCACAAGTTTGGCCACGTTGCCAAAGACTGCTGGGAGAAGGACAGCCCCAGACCTGAACAAGCGCACATGGCGGACGATGACGAGGACGACCACTTTGAAGAGCCCGTGGGTATGGCAGCCATGGCATTGGATCGCTCCACCCTCACCGAGGACTGGTCGCAACTATACACGCCAAACGTGTCCACACCGTCGCGTGCCTCACCTGCGCCTCATGCCTCGCCTAAGTACTCTCCTCTTCGATCGCCGGCGAGTACCAACCCATCTCCGTCGCCATCTGGTGTGGCCACACCATACGAGTTTGATGATGACTCGCAAATGTATGCTTGGAGCATCACCGACAGCACGGGCACCACGACGATCCTAGCTATCGACAGTGGCGCATCAACCCACATGACCAATGTCCGCGAAAGCATTCACAATTACCGAAAACTTTCTTTCCCACGTCGAATTCGCACGGCAAATGGTGGTGAATGCACAGCTCTAGGATACGGCGACCTCGTCCTTGTGACATCGGCACATGGTACGATAACCTTACCCAGTGTTCTCTACGTCCCGGGTTTACAGGCAACTCTCATTTCTGTCTCGCGCCTGGTCCGCTCTGGGTCTAGAGTAGTCTTCGAGGGTGAGATGTGCACCGTTATTGACAAGCAAGGGTCCGTGGCCGTCCAGGCACATATCAGCTCCAGCAACGTCTATGCCATCGACGCTAGTCCAGAACAAGCTCAAGCGGCAGAGGCGTTGCTCACGGCTCAAAACATCACATCGTTATGGCACGCGCGCTTAGCTCATGCCCCTCATGCAGTTGTCAGGACCCTCTGCAAGGGAGGCTATGGCGTCAACGTGGATGTATGCGAGCTGGATACTTGCGACACTTGTTACAAGGCAAAGTCTAAGTTGTCCCCCTTTCTAGAGACCGGCGCCCACCGCGAGTCCGAGATACTTGCGCGTGTGCACTCTGACGTCTCTGGACCGTACAGCACGCCTGGGTTATTGGGAGCACGCTACTTTGTGGTCTTTGTCGACGACTTCTCGCGTATGGCATACACGGTATGCATCAAAAACAAAGACGACGTGCTGCCAGTCTTCAAAACTTACAAGCTAATGATGGAGAAGGCCACTGGCAAAGACATCAAGAAGTTCAGAAGCGATAATGGCGGTGAATACGATGGTCTAAAGCCGTTCCTCCTAAGTCAAGGCATCACCATCGAAAGATCACCCCCCAAGCGTCAAGCCCTAAACGGCGTAGCTGAACGCATGATTCAAACCATCCGTCAGCGAGCGCGTTCCATGATGCTTCATGCCAAGCTACCCAAACACTTCTGGTCCGCGGCTATTGATTGCGCTACGTACCTCACAAATCGTCTCCCGAGTGCGGCCAACAACGACATGACACCTGTCGAGAAATGGTCGGGTGATAAACCCAACCTTAGCTTCCTTCGAGTATTCGGTTCCACGGCGTACGTCCACATCGACAAGTCCAAACGCGCATCAAAGTTCAGCGAAACAGCAGAGAAGTGCACATTCATTGGCTACGCTCCAGGAACAGCTGCTTATTGGTTCTGGTCACCTGAGCGACACAAAGTCATTGTGTCGCGTGACGCACGCATCCTGGAACTTGAGGATCTCGACGACGTCGCCGCCTCTGAGCCTCAGGGTCTCGATAGCAGTATTAGTGATTCGGACGAAGTTGTCACACCGCCAGACAGTCCAGCAGTGCCTGGAACCGCCGCTCCCCTTGCTCCAAAGCGCCCGCAGCGCGAGTGACGCCTCCCAGGTAGACTGACTGACTTTGCAGCCCACCTTGCCTGCGAGGACGAAGGAGGAGCTGCAGGCTCGGGAGAAGCAGACCAAATTGTCGAGCTTGCCGCAGTGGCTAAAGCAAGCGATGCCACCATTGCGCCCTCAGATACCGAACCCCGCTCTTACAAAGAGGCCATGGCATCCGTCAACGCCCAGCATTGGAAAGACGCCATGGCAACGGAAATCAGCAATCTGAAACGTGCACAGTCGTTCGAAGTCGTCGATAATCCTACCACTCACGCTCCGGTCAGTGTGCGTTGGGTTTGCAAGGTCAAGCGCGACCACCATGGAGAGGTGATCCGCTATGGAGCACGACTGGTGGCCCGCGGTGATCAACAAACCGATGGCATCGATTACGAAGAAATCTTCGCTCCAGTTAGCAAGCTTGCCTCCATCAGGATCTTCATCGCCCTGGTCGCCTCTTGGAAATGGTTCATGGTATCCTTCGACTTTGTGTGCGCCTTCCTTAACGCGCCGCTGGAGACCGAGGTCTTCTGCAAAATTCCGGAGGGGGCACCGCCTGATTGCGGTGATCAACGCACACAGTCATGGAGTCTCAAGCGCTCTCTGTATGGTCTCAAGCAATCAGGTCGAAACTGGTACAACACGCTCGTTGCCGACCTTGAGGCAATGGGCTTTGAACGAAACGACGCAGAGCCGTGTCTCTTCTATCACAGCGACATGCAAGTCATGATCGCCGTCTATGTCGACGATGTCTTAATGGCTGCAAAGTCTCGCGAGAACATCACCAAGATTCACAAGTGGTTGAGTGCCAAATACGAAATGACTGGAGGAGACGACGCGACCTTCATCCTGGGCATACAGATCCTGCGCGCATCGTCAACCGCAGGACTGATAGCCTTGTCTCAGCAAACCTACATCGAGAACATCCTTGCGCGTACGAACATGCTTACTGCCAAGCCTGCGCCAACCCCCCTCAGCGCAAGTGTCAAGTTGTCCAAGAGCCAATGTCCATTGCACGATGACAAGGAGCATGTAATGACGCGTCTTCTGAGTGAAGACGTATGCCGGCGCAAGTAAGGTCCTTGTGCGATAGAGCAGAGGGCTAGCTGTTGTTAGGCGGTGGAGCTCAACGGCGGCAGGCTGTGGAGAAGGAGGAAGTGAGTGGAAGACAGCTGGGTGATCAGGCCAGTGTCAGGCGGCGGTCAGGTGAGGAGGTCAGTCGAGGAAGAGGGCAGGAAGATTGGGTGAGGAAAGGTTGTATTGCAAAGTGGGAGAGGCCTTGGGGGGCCTCTATATATACCTTACAGGTCTGTCTGAGGGACAGAGTGTGTTGTGTAACAGAATGTGTGAGAAGCAGAGTGGAATGTTTCTGAGGCAGAGAGAAATGTCTCTGAGACGGAGAAGAATGTCTGAGAGACATTCTTATGCGCGAGGTGCATATGAATGTCTGAGAGACATTCTGACTGCATGAACTATGTCTGAGAGACATTCTTGAATGTGTGAGAGACATTGGAGAATGTCTGAGAGGCAGAGTGGAATGTCTGAGAGACAGAGTGGTGCTTGGCGCGCAGTAGTGGATGTGTATGAGTCAGAGTGGGGCGCGCGTGGAGCATAAGGCATGGATTTGGGTACAGGACAGCATCGCTTCTTTACATCACCCCCCTCCTTATACGAGCTCAGCCCCTGAGCTCAAAGCGTTTACCTTTGTGGCTCATCAATTTGAGCAAAGAACCACAAGTGTTCCAGAAGTTAGGGTCGTGCTTCTGTAGGCGGCGTAGAGAGCTGTCGCTGACCCAGCGGTCTTTGTCTTGAAAGTAGGTCCTTATGGCAGTTGCAAAGCCCGGATGCGGAGCGTCGTAAGGCAGCCACAACGGCGTGAGAACGCTGGAGCGGTGGTGTCCTTCATAGAGAACTCTGTACTTGATGTAGCACTTCTTGCTGTCGCGGCGTACAGTGTGATCTTCAACTTTGATTACTCTAGGGAGAGTGGGTTGTGCAAGAGTCAAGGGGGAAGTTGCTGCTTGCTTTAGCTCGATACCATGAGCTCTGAAGAAGGCTTTCATGTCATCTATGTCAACACAGTGACCAAGCTGCTCCTTGAACTTGTCCCAGTTGACAGTGCTGTTGAAACCACTAGCCTGAGGGGCTGTAGGTCGAGGTGGAAGGTGCTGAGCATTGTTGGTGATGCATGGGATGTAGTCTCCACTGTTCTCGAGCTCCGACGACGTCAGACTAGCTCCTAGAGCGCGGTTGTAATGGTGACCAGGTGGTGGGTCTCTGTAGATGACTTCCCCATAGCCAAATGGAGGTATGTAGTCATTGCTGTTGTCAACACCATGGAAGATGAAGTCTTGTTGTGTAGGAGTGGAAGCTGAGGCTGCTTTGAGTCCTTCGGTGTCGATTGGTGGCGTAGGTGGGCCAACGGTGACGGTGTGCAAAGCGGATTGGATTGCCGCTTGATGCTGAGCAATACTGACAGTATCCTGAGGGTTGAATAGCTCCTCAAGGCTACTGGCCCCAATTTTGCTTCCTGGCTATCCCAATCCCAATTGGTGCCCCCAACGACCTCGGACAACATACCATCATGTGCTCCTATGTGATACGCTTCGAACAAGCCCAAAGACGCCTTGCTAGCACTCTCCAGGCCCTCTTGAGACCTAACCCAGTCCAACAGGTCATCCCAATAGGTGGTACTAGCCTCTCCTTGGCTCACGAGATGAGTTGTTGTTAAAATCGGCTCGGTGAGCGGTTCATCGAAAGCTGATGAAGCGTAGCTTTCCGTAAAGTCCTCCATTGCGCAAATCGATGAAGAACTCGCAAAGTTATGACCTTCCAAAGTCAATGAATGTATTTCTGCTTCAAGAATTGATGAGGAGGGTTTGCTGACCCAACTTTAGATGCTTCCTCGTCCTAGACGGGTGATCCAATCGCCTCCGAATTGTGAGAGGACCTGCTACTGCCTCGTACCTTCCCAGAAATCAAAAGCGCGCTTGATTTGCTCGACTCAGGCCTGAGTAGTAGTGCTTGGGGCTCAGATGGATTGATAGGTGCCTCAGGGGGGAGATGGCACTTTGGATGGGTACTGGGGGGCTTCTGAGGCAGGTCCAATCGTCGATTCGTGTGGTGATAAGGTGGACGGATGAGGATCTCGCGCGGCGCGGTGTTTCGATGGCTGTGGGAGGCACAGCATGCAAAAGTCTGCCACTGCTGCAGTGCCTGCATGTGCATGCTGCTTAGGTGCCCAAATGTCTCTGAGGCATTCTGAAATGTCTCTGAGGCGTTGCGCGCGCGTGTGTTGGTGCCGGATAGCGTCGAGAACGGCCTCCTGCAGTTTTGTGCTGATTGCATCATTCTAAGATCTTCAGTAACAATTTCAGTGTCGCCTATTTTGGTGTATCGATAGTGTGGTGCGCGTATTAGTGTCGTGAGTCTGTTGAATCTTCTGAGTTCTATTTTGGGTGTGCTTTTCTGTATCCTCTTTCTGGGACAGTTGTTCTAACTTCCAAGTCCATGTACAGTTATGCTTTGTGTTACTCGCGCGTTGCGCTAAGCGCTGATGCCACCCAAGGCCTGGAAGTCTTCATAGGCCTGAGTGTCCTTGATGTCTTCAAGTGGCGACCAAGTATTGTCATGATCTTTGTATCCTTTCCACTTGACCAGGAACTGTTGTCGGTTCCTATGTGTGCGCTGATCCAAGATACGTTCAACAATGTACTCGTCATGACCATCAACCTCCACCGGCGGCGGCGGCGGTTCCTGGCGCAGCGCAAAGCGGGAAGGCGTCTGGTGGAATGGCGCCAGATGCTGCATATTGATGACGTTGTGGATCTTAAGGTTATCGGGAAGCTTCAATCGATAGCTATTCTGCCCAACCTTGGCAGTCATGGCGTATGGTCCGTAGTACTTTGGCAGTAACTTGCGCGACTTGCGGCGTTGGTCAAAGTCTGGGTGGATGTGCCGCGCAGAAAGTTTGACATAGTCGCCAACCTTATATCCTTTACTTGACTTGTGCTTGTTGTGATGCTTTGCCTGCGTTACCTGAGCAGCAGCAAGAGCATCAGCAGCCGCAATTGCACTTGCTTGCAGGTTGCGGGCAAACTCTTCAAGCGCAGCTGGCGTGCTATCCACAGCATTCCAGCGGCGTAGCGGCAAGGTTGGGTGGTACCCAAGATCTAGTTCAAACGGTGTGCGGCCAGTTGACGCATGCGTAGCATCATTGTACGTGTACTCCAAAGCGTCGAGATGCTCAGACCAGTTGTCTTGTTGATACGAGATGTAGTGTCGGATCATCTCCTTGACTACGCGGTTCAGCCGTTCTGTCTGTCCATCTGTCTGTGGGTGGAAGGCGGTTGACATGGCTTGTTTTGTGCCCATCTTCTTGCACAGCGCTTTCCAGAACAGCGAGGTGAATCGAGCGTCGCCGTCTGACACTATGATTGTTGGAACCCCGTGTAGTCGCACAACCTCTCGGAAGAAGAGAGTTGCTATGTCAACAGCAGTTGCCGTTGACTTCATTGGCACAAAGTGAGCGCGCTTGGTGAACTTGTCAACTACAACCATGAGCGTGTTGTTGCCATCCTTGTCCACAGGAAAGGGGCCTGTGAAGTCGATCGTCACGGTGTGCCAGCGTCGCGGTGGGATTGCAAGAGGCTGGAGAAGTCCGGCGCTTTGCAGATTGCTGGCTTTGTTGCGCTGACACGATCCGCATGACTTCACAAAGTCTTGCACGTCCTTGAACATGCTTGGCCACCAGAACATGTGCGACAGCTTATTGAACGTCTTTGACACGCCAAGATGTCCTGACAGTGGTGCATTGTGGAAGTCCTGCAGCAACTGCAGGCGCAAGTTGGTGTTGTTGGCGGGACTGGGCACAGCCAGAGCTTTTGCGCCGGTGGTTGGGTGTAGCCTCCACAGTAATCCATCATGATACGTGTAAGCGCTAAGGTGAGCTGGAGTCTCGGCTCCGCTTGATGGTGGTGGTAGCTCCTTGATGATTGGCGCCAGATCCTTGCAGTGAGGTACTTGTTTGCGCACAGTGGCAAAGAATTGGTCTTCTGCCTCAACAAGCGGTGTAATGGCGGCATTGTTTGTACAAGGTTCATCTTCTGGAACCGGTAATGCTGCTCGTGACAGAGGGTCTACATTGCTATGGACGCGCCCCTGTCTGTAGATGATCTTCATATTGGGTCGGTGATGCTGCAACTCTAGCATCCATTTGGAAAGGCGGCGGTTGTTCCCCTTGAAATTGAACAACCATTGTAGTGCCGTGTGGTCTGTGATGAGCGTGAACTGCGCTCCATCCAGGTACACATGTAGCTTTTTGATAGCCCAGACGGCAGCCAAACATTCTATCTCTGTAGCCAAATAATTCTTCTCTGCCGGCTGTAGTTGACGCGAGAGGTAGCAGATAGGATGCTCGTGGCCATCATTTCCTTCCTGAGACAGAACAGCGCCTAGACCTGAGAGAGAGGCATCAGTGTGTAATACGTACGGTTTGTCTTGTTGCGGGTGAGCTAGAACAGGCTCAGCTGTAAGACACTTCTTTAGAGTGTCGACGGCGTCTTGGGCCTGTGGTGACCATTGGAATGCGGTGTCTTTCTTGATGAGTTTGTTAAGCGGAGCTGCAATCTTTGCAAAGTCTTTGATGAAGCGTCGGTAGTATACGGCCATTCCTAGGAAACGCTGGAGTTCTTTCACATTGGTTGGCGTTGGGAACTTGTTGACAGCTTCAACATTATGCGGCGCGGTGCCAATGCCCATGTTGCTGATTGTGTGTCCAAGCGCCTTGATTGATGTCTGCGCTATGTTGGACTTCTTCAGTGACAGTGTGATTCCTGATGCTATGATACGCTGTAGTACATCACGTAGGTGCTCCATGTGTTCTTCAAAGGTGTCTGAGTATGTGATGGTGTCATCAATGTGGACAATAGTGTGCTTCCACTTGCTTTTGCCGAGCACAATGTCCATGAGTCGTTGGAAGACTGACGGTCCATTGACAACTCCAAAAGGCATGCATTTAGGGCGGAACAGGCCCATGTGCGTGCAGAAGGCAAGCTTATCCATTACGGCAGTACTGATGCACACCGTCTGTTGGAACCCTTTGTTGGCGTCAAGTGATGTGTACCACTTCTTGTTGGCAAAGACATTGAGCGTGTCATCTATCCTTGGCAGAGGATAGACGTCTTTCTTGGTGACAGCATTGAGCTTACGATAGTCAACGCAGAAGCGTACCTTATCTCCTTGTGGTACTAGCACAACTGGCGAGCCCCACGCTGAGTCGCACGGCTCAATAAGATCCAGCGCAAGCATCTCCTCAATGGCTTCCTCTATGACCTTGCGTCCAGCTGGGCTTGCGTGATACGGTGGTTGACTGATGGGAGCGGCGTCTCCTGTGTCCACATCAAACTTAATGAGGTCTGTGCTTCCTATTTGTTGGTCTCCATAGGCAAATGCCTTGCGATTCTCAACAAGCAGTTCTTCTAGCTGTTGAGCTTGGTCTGGCGTCAGATCCTGATTGACGTTGGCTGCTTCAAGGGCCTTCTTGAATTCCATGACATCAGCCTTTTCTGTGGTAGCATAGTAAGATTCTTTCTCTGTAGCGCGCATTGGCTTTCCTGCAGCATCTTTGGCGGAGGGCTGTTGTGCCGAGATACGGAACAGCTTGTTGGGGTGTTCCGCAAAGCTCATGCGGTCCTTCTGGAAGTTGATGGTTGCGCCATATGTATGAAGTGCATCATTCCCAATGATGACCTTGGTGTGGTTGAACGGACTAACATAGTAGCGCAGACTGATGACAAGCAGCTGCCTGTTGTCTGATATGAATCCTGTGTCGATGTCAACATATGACCAAACCTGAGAGCCAGATCCCAAGCCTTGTATGCTAAATCCAGAACAGGGTTGGGGCTGCAGCGACGGCAGATGCTCCTCTAGATAAGCCTGATCTATGAGGGAGATTGAAGACCCGGAGTCAATGCACGCAAGATGACTAGCCTTCTTACCATTGAACCAGATGCGAGCAGTGGCAGACGTCTTCTCTGAGTATGATGGTAGACCAGCAGTTGGATTGTGCCAGGGCTTAGTGATGCGCAGATGCTTCATTGGATGTGGCGTCACTGGCTTGGCACTGGAGGGGCATTCCGGCGTGCTGACTGCCGATCTTGAGACGTCTTGGACTGCAAGCTCTTCATCAGGAATTGGTGGAGGAGACTCCGTGAATGCTTTGGTCCTGGATTGCGTGACAATGACGTTCACTTCCACATCTGGAGCGTCTTCCACGGACGGTTTCTGGTAGCGGTTGAAGGGTAGCCATGTAGTGTTTGACTTGGTTGCCACAGGCTTGGTAGTGACGTTGTTACTTGTAGGTCCTTGTCGTGGGTTGGGGATTGAGCAGTCTTTTGCCCAGTGCCCCGTCTTGCCGCAGCGGAAACAAGTCAATCCTGTTGTTTGCTGCCCAGGCGTTGGCTGGCGCAGTGGTTGGGTTGTTTGGCGATTGCGGTATGGTGGGCTTGCACCGGTCCTTTGCTGATAGTTCTGACGTGGCAGTTGTTGCAAGCGAGGCTCATAGCTTTGATAGCGCTCCTTGCGAGGCAGTGCTCTCTCTGTGTCTTGACGGTATCCCTGATACATCTTATACGTTGGGTTGTTGAAGCCATTGGCACGCAGGCCATCTTCAAGGTTCATGATAATTCATCGGAACTCTTCCAGCGTAGTTGAGGTATTGACGGATGAGTGGATGAACGGGTGCATGCTGATTGGCATACCCATGATGATCTCTTGGATCTTCATCGACGTCTTCAGCCCATTACTATAGCGCTTGTTGATGAGATTGAGCTTGTCCTGAAAGTATGTGGAGAACGGTTCATCTGGACGCAGACGGCGTCGGGAGAGCTCCATATGGATCTGGTCCAAGTAGTTGGGTGCTCTGAACGCGTTTTGGAAGGCGTCTTGCCAGTCGTCCCACGTATGGTAGTCATACCGCTGATCCTTCAGGCCGACAAACCAATCACGTGCACTGTGCTCTAGCAGACGCGGAATAAGCTTCAGTAGCTGACTCTCTGTTTGACCAGAGAACTCATAGATAGCTGTGACTTGTTCAAGCCATGTGTCCACATCACGCTTGCCTTTATATGATCCATCATACTTTGGGAAGTCTTCAACGCGGAGTCGAGCTGGTGTTTCTGCAGCAGGCTCGCATGTGCTCTCGCGCGTATAGGGGCTGATAGTAGCTCTTGCACGCCGTGGTAGTTCCTCTACTTCTTGCTGCTGTTGCGGAGCGGGTGCTGATAGTGCTTGCGCTAGCATCTGCTCCATACGCTGAATGGTGGAACCCAGTTCCTGGATCTTGGCCTGATCCTTTGTGCGCTGCGCTATGTCTTGTTCGCGTTCTTGTTGGCGTTGCGCAATGTCTTCAGCTCGTTGCTGATCAAAGCGCTCCTGTAGCTCTGCCATACTGATAGCTAGTAGTTCATCGTGGAGCGTTGTCTGCTCTATCCCCTGTTGTTCTTGCTGCGCATCCTGCGCCTCTTGGTGCTCTGGTGGAGTTGTATGTGGTGGAGCTGAAGGTGAACAGCGCCCTGTGCCCGTTGCTTCACTCATGTTCTGGCGGTTCCTACCGCGGGTGTTCAAAGCAATGTCCGACATTGTAATAACTATTCTTCTCCGTTACGTCCAAGCAAGACCCGGTCTTCTTGAGTAGCAGTACCTTGATCAAACACAAGGTTGGTGGTTGAGCTATGAGTATCGACAGTGACAAGCTGTCAGTTTGACGCAGAAGTGGCCTGGTTACCTCTTCTTGTCCGTTACGTCCAACAAGACCCGGTCTTGTCGTGTAACAGCCCTACCTTGATCAAACACAAGGTCGTCTACTTGCACTGGTGTCCGACAGTGGGTAGACCGCGTTGGCTCAAACCTGGCTTCAATGGGGACTCAGCAGCGTTTTTGGTGGCCCTGCTGTAGAAGTAGCTACCTTCTCTTCTTCCTTACCCTGGCAAGGAAGGTACGCGTTCTCCGACGCAAGCACCAAGTTCCAAACTTGTGCTGAGACTATAAGACAACGCTTATACCTAGAGGATCCCGGATCCTACAGTCTTGATGCGTCCACCAAGCTGTTCTTGATTGAGTTCTGCAGTCGAGTTTCCTTTAGCTGGTCCCCTGCAATGGTCACCAAATGTAACA